GGAATTTGCTCTAAAATCCATTAACTATAGTGGTGCCTGGGTGGCCCAGTCAGTTGGGCATCTGACTCTTGGTTTTGGCTCAAGTCATGATCTCAGGGTGGTGGGATTGAGCCTCCCATTGAGCCCTGCATCAGGTTCCTCATTAAAGTCTGCTTCAGATTCTTTCTCCTTCCCCCTCTGACCCTCTCTGCTCACACACACTCTCTCTCTCACTCTCTCTCTCTCTCAAATAAATACATAAAATCTTTAAAAATAAGTAAATAAAAACCATTAAACCAATAAAAAATAAAAACCATTAACTATAATAAAACAGTTATTATTTCCTATCTTACTATTGTGCCATTTCACTCTTTAAAAATAATAAATATAATATTAATTCCATGATTTCTCCTATGTCCAGATTGGATAAATGTGTAGGAAGTTGTTGAAAGAAAGCAATAGCATTTTAATATCCACCATTTATTTGATACCCTTTTTACTTGGGCTTAGAATTTTGAATATTCAAAATTCCACTGGCTATTAAATGCTTCAATCTGGATATCATTAGATCAGAATTTCTGGACCACCCTGTGAAAGACAGACTTTCTTCATTAAAAAGCAAAAAATCAAACAGGCTGCAATGACTTTTCTTGGAACTCAGAGGATGTGTGGAAGAGGAAGGTCTTCTTTGACCAGAGGGTCAGTGCCCTCGGGAGATGCCCAGACTTTTCCGCCTTCATTCAACTTTTCCTGCCAGTCCTACCCTCAACTACTCCAAAGCTACGAGATGATTAAGAGCTCTAATGGGCTATTTGAGGGTTCTATTGACCTGGGTTATGATTTTTATTTTTATTAATCTGATCACTTCAATGGCACTGTTGACACAGAAAGTCTATGATTTGATCTCAGAAGCCCAATGTTAAGTCCTTCTCTGCCACTAACACAGCCTAACATTAGGCCAATCACTTAACCCTTCTAAGGTCCAGTTTCCTAACATACAAGAAGAGAATAATGGCTACTGTTCTGCCCAACTGCTACAGTTTATTGTCTAGTTCAATACCCTTTTTATATGAAAATGTTTGTAAGTAGCAACAGGGTTTTTTATGATTTATTTGCTTATTTGAGAGAGAGCAAAAGAGAGCAGGGGGAGGGACAGAGGGAGAGAGAGAGAAAATCTGGAAGCAGACTTCCAGCTGAGTGCAGAGCCCACCAGCCTCAGTGGGGCTCAATCCCAGGACCCTGAGATTATGACCTGAGGCAAAATCAAGAGTTGGCTGCTTAACCTACTAAGCCACCCAGGGGGCCCCGTGGCAAAATATTTATATGCAGAAAATACCATACAATTGTAGGTTACTTCTCCCTCTCTTCCTCTCTTTTTCTCTTTCTCTCATTTAGTTGTCTTACACATCAAATTCCATACTGGGGCAAAGAAATTGTGCAAAATGATCTCTTTTCACAAGAGATACCCTTCAATACCAACAATCTCATCTTCCTCCTCAGTTTTTAGCCCTTAAATATATAACACATATAATCATATTTGAAAGAGAGCAAGCCTATCCATTTCTTTTCTACCTGAACATGAATGTTTTGGCTGAAATATCTCATGATGCTTTATCTAGAGCTCCGCAGGCATGACTTCTCTCCTTACTCCAGTCATCCCCCTCATCCCCATTTTCTTAGCCATGGCCACTGTAGAAGGCCTCTTCCCCAATTTTGCTTTTCAGAAGATGTGATTACATGGACTAATAGTAACATTGCCTTCTACTAGCCCTTTTCAGTTTTAGCGATAAAATGTAGAAATCAAATTAATGTGAATTTTAGGAATCCTGGGGAAATGTGGGCAAATTTCTCTGCTATCCTGAGCCTCCTTCTCTTCATTTGCATAACGGTGATAATAACACTAACTGTAAGGTTGTGGGAAAATTATATGAGAAGGAGCATGTGAAGAGTAACACATAGTAATTATGTTGTTACCATTAAGGGAAAAAAATTCCTCTTTTGCTGGTACATGTGAAATCAGAACTTAATTTTGACATCTGACTATTGTCTATGTCTTATTTCCCATCATTTTCACCCTATATGGCCCCTTAAGCCACCTCAACTTTGTTTTTGTTTTTTGACTTTGACGAAGAATAAGTATGATTTTTACTTTACCTCTGGTACATAAAGTTCCAAGACAACTTAGTATAACAAAATGAGCACCAAACTGAAAAATACAAGAAGCTGCTTTCACTGTTTGTGCACTTCTTTAAATCAAAAGAACAAGATGTAAACTATTTTTTTATGTCATCTCCTGTGCTTCAGTCTCCTTGGTGCCTTAGCAAACATGAAAGAGACTGATTTACAATCACTTTGGGCAAATTGCCTGTAGAATTCTGAAGACAGGAAATGAAAAAAAAGAAGTGCAGCGCACCCCCCCCCACCCCGGACATTCCACACAACATGTGGAATAAACAGGCCTAAAAAGGAAACCAAAAGCTCTTGGTCTTATATTGAGGAATATCATGAATGGCCTTTGGGAGAACATACATTAAAGACAATAAAGTGCTGGAAAAATATTTCAAGAGCAGGTGAACTTGAATCTGACTAATGATAATCCCTTCCCCGTTTGGTCTAAAAGATGGTAAGTACTTTTAATTTAGGTAAATTATGTTACCTACATCAACATTATGAAAGAGGGTTACCATATTACAGGCTTATACCTCTCAAACCTTAACAGGAATTGAACTCCCTGGAGATCTTGTTGGGATGGAGATACTGGTTCAGGAAATCCGAGTGGAACCTGAGATTTTGGATCCTTCACAAACTCCGGGTGATGCAGATGCTGCTGGTCTGCAAGCCAGTTGTTTTTCCATCATCTTCTTTAACAAAATCATTGCTGGTGGTGTTCTGGTCCTTATCTATAGAATGGTCATTTTCAACTTGGGCAATTTTGGTCCCAGGGGAATTTGTCAGTGTCTGGAGACATTTTTGATCTCCATAACTCAGGGAGTACTACTGGCATCATGTGGACAGGGACCACAGATGCTGCTACAACATACAGTATAGACTTTCATAACAAGTAATTTTCTGACTCAAAATGTCAATAACACTAAAGTTGAGAAATGCTGTTGTAGACGTACTACTTTGTGTCTCCCTCATATCAAAAATAATCTGTTGCAAGTTTTCAAAAAAATAAACCTGTAAGAGAAGGGTAGGAGCGTGTACTATTTAGTTTGGAGTAGAGCGAACCATGTTTAAAACTGTCTTCAAATATGTGAAAGACAGTTATACAGAAGATGGTAGCCAGCTGTCTCCATCACACTTGAAGTAGGAGCAGGAAATATACATAAATGGACCAATGCTAGCCTTCCATTCTTTTTCTGCATCTTCCACGCGAGCCAGGCAAATCTCTCTATGATTTTGCAACCATATTTGTCCCTTTCTATGTCTTCTTACTTGTAGAGACCCTCCCGAATCCTTGGGACATATTTTCTTCTCACTGCCAATTTGAATCTCTCCCTCCCTTTAAAAATCTAACTTGAAAATTTCCATCTCCATTAAGTCTTTCTTAGCTAAAATGAAATAGTTGTCAGTTCACCTCTAACTTCAAATGGTACACTTTCTCCTTCAATGTGTTTACTCTACAAATATGTTACTGCCCATCTGTGTACAAGGAGTTAGGCTAGATTTTGAGAAGGGATAAGAAAGATAAGGAAGAGAGTCCCTGCTTTTAAGAATTTTCCAAACTAGGGGGGGGGAAATCACACAGAGATAATTACAATGTAAATAAAATAGTATTTAATAATTATTTCTATGAGAGATATTCAAAAAATGAAAGAGGAGGATTTAGTAATTAAAAAGATTATTTCCAGTTGGAAAGATCAAGGAAGACTTTATAAATAGGTATACATAAATATCTTTTTTTAAGAACAAAATTTTCTCTAAATTAGGTATAATCCTATGCAACAAAGAAACAATAATGTTAAAATTGAAGATTATGAATTAGAGCATAGAATGAATTCGAGTTTGGATTTAAGGTTTATAATGAATAAGGAAAGAGAATTTTTCAAGATGTGTGTAGCTGTATCATGGTTTTAATAAAGAACAGTGAATTTAATTACCTCTGAATGTGCCTTATGATGCTTGTGATTTTATAAGGGAGTGCTCTTTGGGAAGAGTTCTCAGTTGCATCTAGGAGAAGAATGTTTTGTAACTTCACAAGTATACTTTAAAAAGTAGTACCGAACATGGAATTTGGCACCATCCATTTGACAGAATTTGGCACCATTCAGAACCCTTTTAGGAGAGAGTCTCACTTGTAAAGGGTTTTCATTACATGAACTTTAAGGAAATTGAAGAGAATTAACCCTCATTGACTATCTAGTGTGTGTCAAGCACTGAGTAAGCTCTTTAGATATGTCATGTGATTTAGATATATCATGGACAGCAACCTGTGAGGTTATCACCACCAACACTATACAGGGGTTCTAGTGTATTAGGATAAGCTTTCTGTCCACCACTTGATTGAGAGGGAAGCAGAGCAAATCTCAGGCCTGCTTAGGAAGCCATTTCTGGGTGGAGGCAATCAGCTTGCATTCCCTTTGGAAGCAGCAAGGAGAAAGCTTCCTCTCCTGAGGGTTTAAGGGTGATTCTTTCATCCTTCATAGTGAAAACAGGAAAATGAAGGTGTTTACATTTCATTGGTGACCGTGATTCACTGTAGGGCTCACTACTGGAAAGTTATCTGTAACCACATTAGGCATATACAAGCATGAATTTTTGCCAGCTCTCTCATATTCTGAAGTCATTAGCTCTGGGAATGGTACAGCTACTAAATTTCTATAGGATTTTGTTTGAATATTAGTACTTGTATTCTTTAGTTGTTATTTTCAGTCAGTAATACAATTAATATCGTAGACCTTTCTTGCAGTTCTCATTTTTTGAGCATCATTGCTCTTTTTAACATGCCTTCCATAATTCAAAACATTATGGAATCTTAGTTAACTCTGTGTAACTGGACTTTGTTTTCTCTCTTAAAGTTGTTCTAGGCTTCTGCGTATCATTCAACGTTGATGTGAAAAATTCAATGACTTTCAGTGGCCCTGTGGAGGACATGTTTGGATATACTGTTCAACAATATGAAAATGAAGAAGGAAAATGGTAAGCCGTTCAATTTTGTTGTGTTGTTGTCTAGTTTTTTTTACAAAGTAATGGAAAATATTGTTTGGTTACTGTTTGTTTTATGAATGAGACTTCAACAGAATGAATCATGCATGATAGAAATTGCAGTCTAATCATTTGGTAATGGAAACTGACACAGTAAAAAAAAAAAAAAAAAAGGAAAATTCCTTGGCAGTACTAAAGGAAGTGGTTAGTGATTTCTGTTGAAACCCATGTTGACCTCAAGGAAGGTCCTTGTGCAAAATAGTCATTGTTCTGTAATTGTTATTCTGGCAAGAATTCTTTAATTGTTCTCATTCTAGAGAACAATTCAGCTGGAAGGATTGAGAGGCAGATGAGAAGCTATATTGAAAGGGTTAATATCACTTCCATAAGATATTATTGAGTTATATTTTTGGTGATGTACTAACCTACTGAGTTTGGTTTACTGTTTACAATGAACCTTACTGAATTTCTTTTATACACTTTTAAGCCCGTCAGTAATGATTCATTTCACTTCCGGTATGATTTTTAAAGTATATTTAACCTGTTGAAAATTACACAAAATTAATATTAAAGCTCTTTTACTTTATATTTAACATAATTTTTAATGCCTCTTGTTTTCTGGGAAAAAAAAGAACAAGAAGTTGTTAAACTTTGTTTCAGTTTAATAAGTTAAACTATTCTAGTAACAAAAAGAATAATCAAAAAGAGATCTGTACTTCTTAGGAAACAGTAATCTATCACTCTACTATATTTCACAAATAAAAAAATATGGATTTTTTGACATTTCACTTTATCTTTTAGACTTCATTTGATCATAAGCCCCCCAAAATGATCAATAGTAAGAATTTGAGTTCTCACATTTTCTGCATACAAATATTATATCCTAGGTACAAACTAGAATTTGTGGAGGTGTTTCACTCTCTACTCTCCTTACAGATATCTTAGATGAGACATCTAATAATAGAGTATGAGTTTTGTATTCTTTGTCCTTCCAACCTATACTCTCACTTACCACCCCACCCCCACCCCATTTAAGGTTAGATAGGTAAAATCATCTCTCTAGACACCAGTTTTATTCCTTTAGGCATTATGCCTGCAATTCAGGGAGCTCTGCCTCTCAGAGAATAATGTGAGTGGGCCAAGTAAAAGCTACAATAAACTGAAACTCTGTTGGGCAGTAGCTCAGTCAGTGAAGCATCCAACTATTGATTTTGTCTCAGGTCATGATCTCAGGGTTGTGGGATCAAGCCCTGCATGGAGCCCTGAATCGGGCTCCTCAATGGGCCTGGAGCCTGCTAGGGATTCTCTCTCCCTCTGCTTCTCCCCACCTGTCTCCCTATGTTCCTCCCCATATGTCCATCGACTGATGAATGGAAAAAGAAGATGTCGGGGTGTGTATATGTACACACACACATAATCGAATATTACTCAGCCATCAAAAGAATGAAAAAGAATGAAATCTTGCCATTTGCAACAACGTGAATAGAGCTAGAGTATATTATGCTAAGCGAAATAAGTCAGAGAAAGGCACATACCATATGATTTCACTTATATGTGGAATTTAAGAAACAAAACAGATGAACATAAGTGAAATAAAAAAAGAGAGAGAGATAGAGAGGGGCAAACCATAAGAGCCTCTTAACTATAGCAAACAAACTGAGTTGCTGGAAGGGAAGTGGGCAGGGAATGGGCTAAATGAGTGATGGGCATTAAGGAGAGCACTTGTGATAAGCCCTAGTTGTTATATGTAAGTGATGAATCACTAAATTCTACTCCTGAAACTAATGTTATGCTGTATGTTAACTAACTAAAATTTAAATGAAAACTTGAAATATTAAAAAAAAAAACAATTGTGCTAATCAGTATAATATACACTATAAATTCAATAGGATTTAAGAGAAGGAGGAATTGATTCTTGACTCTTGAGCTGAGTCTTGAAAGATGATTTAATTTTTAATAAAAAAAGAAGCAATGCCACTCCAATCTGGGAAGCGACATAAGCAAGGGCATAGATTTGAGAAATGGGTGTGTTGGTGAGCAAACAGGACTGACACAGGGTGATAGAGGAGAAATGGTAGGGGCAGACCTTAGAAGCCAGACAAAGAAACTTGGACCTAAGTAAAGGGCACTGAGAACCGTTGTAGGTGGTTTTTATGAACCTTAGTTTAGGAAATTACGTAAAGATTGGACTGGAGAAAAAAGCACCTGAAAGCTGGGGAATCTATAGGTAAGCAAAAATAGTAATCTGGTGCTTAAGAGATGAGGTCCCAGGCTAGATTAGGGAGAACTGGAATGAAAGAAAAGTGTATCCAAGATAAATTTAGATGAATCATTGGTGGAAGTTTGGAAATGTCAAATGGAGATGTAGGAGGAGTCAAACATATTCCAGAACTTCTACACTGGATCATTGGAAATAGGGTAGCCATTTAGAGGAAAATATACAGGAAAGAAAAATAAGTTTTATCAGGAAGTTGGTAAGTACGGTTTTAAACAGCTTGAGTATGTCTGGATAGTTGGAAACCTGAAATGGAATACAGATAAGAGGGAGAAGTTAATATATTAGAGGAAATATTTAGAGAACAAAGACTGGTTTTGGTTCCCACTTGCAATCCTGTGCATTGCCCAGCATTTAGCACCGGGCCTTAAACATAATATACATTCAATGATTATTTGTTGGCTGAAAAAATGAATCTAGTTTAACTCCCTGTTATCATTAATGAAAAAACAAGCACACACACACAAGTAATGTTAAAAATGGCTCTTCTATGACTATTATCAAAAACACAAAAGATAAGTGTTGGCAAGGATGTGGAAAAAAGGAAACATTTGTGCACTGTTGGTGGGAATGAAAATTGGTGCAATCACTATGGAAAATAGTATAGCGGTTCCTCAGAAAACTAAAAATAGAACCACCATATGATCTAGCATCCCACATCTGGGTAAATATTCAAAATAATTGGAATCAGGATCTTGAAGAGGTATCTGCATTCCCATGTTCATTGCAACATTATTCACAACAACCAAGATTTGAAAGCAATCTAATGTCCATTGATGGATGAATAGATTTTAAAAATGTGTCATATACATACAATTGAATATTATTCAGCCTGAAAAAAAGAAGGAAATCTTGCCTTTTGAGACATGGAGGAACCTGTAGTACATTTTGCTAAGTGAGATAAGCCAGACACAGGATGAATACTATATGATCTCACTTATATAAGGAGTCTAAAATAGTCAAAGTCATAGAAGCAGCATGTAGAATCGTGGCTACCAGGAGCTGGGAGGAGGGAAAACAAGGAAGTATTACTCAGAGGGCACAAAGTTTTAGTTATGCAAGATGAATGAGTACTACAGACTCACTGTACAGCATAATGCCTATAGTTAACAATACTGTACTGTACACCTAAAAATGTATTAAGAAGGTAGATCTTTTTCAAGTAATTATGCCAATATAATAAAGCCCTAATAAAAACTCAGGACACTGAGGCTTGAGTGAGCTTTCTGTGCACTGATGGGCTGCAAGTGTTGTGTCCTGAGGACACAGAAACTTCACATTTGGGACCCTCCCAGACCTTGTACTGTGGTCTCTTTTGGAGGATTCATCTTAATTTGTATCCTATTATAATAAACTATAATCAGCAGTATTAAAAAAAAGAAGGTAGATCTTATGTTAAGTGTTCTTATCATGAAATAATAATAATAGTAACTAAAGAGTATTGGAGGAAACTTGTAGAAGCGATAGATACGTTTATGGCATATAGACTGTGGTGATGGTTTAACAGGTGTATACTTGTCTCCAAACTCATCAAGTTGTATACATTAAGTATGTACAACTTTTAATATGTCAATCATATTTCAATAAAGTATTTGTTTTTTTGTTTTTTTGTAAGTGACTTCTGTCACTACTTAGCGCCAGAGCTGAAAATAGAACTCACATCTCTCCACTCCCAGTCTGGTGCTTTTTTCTTTATTAGAACTATATTAAGAAGTAAATGCTGATAATAACTATCTTCACAGTTTCAGACTTTACATGTTAACATACATGTGAGAATTTGTGAGCATTTGAATGTATAAGGATGTCAGATAATTTAATTCCATTTTGTCATTCCATATTCACAATGGTTTTATATAAGAGGTGTGAAAAATCAGAATAACAAAAGCGATGTGGCCAACTGAATTTAAAAGTAAGCAAACTACAAAATCTAAATGTCCAAACCTTTAAGGATGGCATGGTAGCAGCATATTGTTCTAAAGAGATCCAGGCACTGGTACTGTAAAATAAATTTTAGAAACATGTTTGGATATTCTGTGTTTATAAAAGCAGATAGGATGCAGACTTACTTTAAGAAATGGCCTATGGAATAACTGACATATTTGGGAGGACGTGGATTTTGTTACTCAGGTTTTCTCCAGAGGTGGGTACCTTTATAAATCATATTTACTACTCAGGTTTTGGAAGCTCAGATTTTTAAAAAATCACCCTGACCCATATTGCATCTTGGCTGAAGTTTGCCTAAAGAAGTGGGGGTGGGAGGGTTGGGGTGGCTGGGTGATAGACATCGGGCAGGGTATGTGCTATGGTGAGCACTGTGAATTGTGTAAGACTGATGGATCACAGACCTGTACCTCTGAAACAAATAATACATTATATGTT